TTTTCTTGCCATGCAATAAAGGACCGCTATGGTGTCGATGTGCCTCCCTTTACTCAGACTCAATGAAAATACAATAATATGGAGGTGGGCGGTATGGAACGAAAATGTTCGCCTCTTAAATGTGACAAAAGTGGCTTTGGCAATAAAAAAGTTGGCAAGCACTGGTCTAACTAGTCTAAGTACAAGACACGGGACCAGTGTCACTGGTGCAGCCATTAACGTAAGTGCTTCACTGTCGCAAACAGAAGACGTGAGTTCGATTCTAGTGTGGGTACTTCCTCCAAAGGAAAAATATAAGCGCAGTCTAAATGGCTTATAATGGAGTTAAATGTAAAAATTCCACCAAAAGTTAATTTTTATCGTTTGTTAGGCTTCTATATTTGTCTTCGTAATCTTTTTTTTTGGTTTTAATTATTGATTTGTCTGTTTGCAAAATTTACAAAGAGGGAAAAGATTTGAGACTATTAATTAATAATTATTTCGAATTTTAAAAAGCCAAAAGAGATACTGTTTAAAGAAAGTTACAAACTATTAAATGAATTATTATTAAAATGGACGAACATTTTTCACAGTATATCCGAGTACCGGTTGTGAAATGCAAGTTAAAAAAAAAAGGCTCCAGGGGGATTCGAACCCTCGACCTTCTGCTTACTAGGCAGACGCTCTAACCAACTGAGCTATAGAGCCGCCTGGCGCTCTCGTGGCGGAGAACTGAATCATGAGACAGAACTTGGAGTAGGATCTCATTATGTCATAGGCCGATAATATTAATAAGTACATGTGTATATACGCAATAGGCTAGTGCAGTGCACACTGCCAATCGGATGCATCTGATTGAGTCAAGGCCAACTAGACTTATGTTCCTGCATGCATGAGGCAAAAGCTACCATTGTGGCACAATACGACTGAATTCAACATACATGTACATGTAATTCCTTCACGGCCTTTAACAAAACCAAACCTGTTTTTCTTTCTTTCTCTCTCTCTCTCTCTCTTTCTTTCTTTCTTTCTTTCTTTCTGTCTTTCGTTCTGTCTTTCGTTCTGTCTTTCTTTCTTTCTGTCTTTCTTTCTACCT